GCTACATGTATGAAGAAGTTTCAAAATTAATTTCTTTCAAACAAACAAAAATGCTTTAAACTTCAGTAACAACACATTGCTCAAGTTAATAACCAAGAACCTAAGACAGAAATTCTACAAAGATCTCCACATTTAATAGATCTCTACATAGCAGCAGTGAAAGTAAATAATAAAATCAATATTGAGTTTACATTTTATTCAAAAGATAAACATAAAATTAAGAAAGCAAGAGATAAAATTCAAAGCAAATATGCTTGAAATTTCAAAACAACTCTACATACAAAGTACAATAGGGAAAAAAACTAAAGCGCAAAAGCCCTTTCCCTGCCCCTCCCCTCATCAATCAAACTGAGTGGGCACATTAAAGTCTAACAGACAGAAACTAGAATTTAATGTAATTTCTCTTGCCTAGAAACTAAACCTTTATAGCTCATATATTTTCTATCCCATTAAGTGTATGATTTCAAGACAATGGATTACACTTTCTAATGAGTCCGTCTCACATTGAACTTGCTGTAGTAAAACATCAATGACTGATGGCTGGCCTTTCCTAATGAGGAAAACAATGTCACCTAAAAGGCAATGTTCACAGAAACAACTAGTGATACTGATACATCTGGACCTCTGCAGGATGGATGCTGTATGACAATTTAAATGAGCAGATTCAACTTTGGGGTCTCAAAAATTAAGAATATATTAAGTACCAAGGAGCTATATCCAATTCACAATATTGTTTCCATCATCTCCCCATTAGGTATAATGTATCCAGAATTCTCAAAGAGTATTTACTTCTATGCTATGGGAATTCCAGCAATTTTTCTTCCAAGACCTCGGTATATCTATCTCCATTCCAAAACATACAAAGCTGCACAACAGAGGGAAAAATTAACTCCTAAAGATCCCAGGTATACAATAGCCATTAAATTTTTAATATATCCATCTTTGAGTTTCATTTTATGCCCTATTTGATAGTTTAAGTTTTTGGATTGCAGGATACTTCTAAACCATTCTATAGACAGCAAAAATTAAAAGCATATAAAAATATGCCAATTACTTTCATGCTAATAAACACAAGCAGTTTTTAATTTTATACACACAGAGAAAGGCAGAGTGATATGGGAAGGAAATAACTATAATTCTATCCAAAGAGCATTTCTCAAATTCTACAAGCTCCATTTTTTATTCTATATTTTTAATTGTACATCTATACTTCTTATTCAAAATCTCTTGAAATATAAAAAGGTAAGTATGCCTGCATAGTAGCATATTTAAGAGAAAATACATAAATGAAGCTTGGAATTTGAATCAATGAGCCATGCTAATATGAAGTCCACAAATGTGCCTTTCCAACCTTGAAAATACTCCTATATACATAATAACTAAAAAGAAATATCATATATGGGAATACACACACAGACACACACATATACACTTCCTGGGTACAGGTCAGCTATAACTTGATAATGTTTCAGGGCACTATAACAAGATTAGTTTACAGCTCCAGGATGCTTGCTAAGCTAATAAACCTCTGACATCATCTTAAAAACAAACAAACAAACTACGAGAAAATTATAAATCTTGAAATGAATCAGAGAAACTGAAAGTTCACTTCTTTTTCTTATCCAAAAAAGTTTAAAATTTCCCCCAAATCCTACTCCAATGAAAAGTGGCCTCTTAACTTTTAGAGAAATTATTACTTGACCATTAGTAAGCATTCAGGAAATACTAATAGATGATTTGGAATAATTTAGAGAAAACTGTTCACTAGGAGTAAAGCCACAAAAATGTGACCTATGGAAAAAATGATCAGTGCTGGTACGGCAGCCTTAGGTCTCACTGCAGGGCAACCAGGAGAGTAGAGACCAGAGGCTGAGCTCCACTAACCCGGAGAGGCAAACAGCCCGTCTATTCATTCAAATCACCCTGGCATGACTCTGTCTCCGGCAAAACACACAAGACAGAGATTCTTGCTCAATGTTCCTAAAAAGAATCTTTGTTCTATAATTAATATATTACCAGATAACACAAAAACTTTAGATTTGAGACACATGTTGTCTTGCTACTCACCCACCTTAAATACCTTTCTTTTGCTACAAACAACATATCATTCCAAGTATTTTTAACAGATTTGAAAGGCTATCTACAGAGTGAGACACCAGAATATAGCTTTTGTTTAATCTGAGTCTTTCTAAAACAACTGAGAAGTTGGGATACAGTCATGTAGCTTTTGATAATATTTATGCAAACATACCTTTTTTTTTTTTTTAAAGCAAAAGTAAAGAATAAACTTTCAGCATCAGAAATGTTTACTAACAACTAAACTAAACATGGGCTACATTCTTAGCACAATACAATCTTTAACACAACTGTAAAAGTGTATACACCTCAAAAGTTAGAAATTGTTTCAAAATTCAACTCTCAGCAAGTTTTTGCTAATTTATTCACAGTTCAGGCTTAGAGTCACTGGATTTACAAGACATGAGGGAAAAATAAGCAATTGGCTCAGTAAACTAAACATTCATTTCAAAGAGAAAAATCAAAACAAAGCAAGGATGATTCTAAAATTTCTAGTTCACAAGAAGTATTATTTAAACAAATACCAAACGCTTTATTTAAGCAAAAACACATTCAGCCATAGAACATTTAAAAACCTAATAGAATCAATTCTATGTTCATTCTAAAAACTAGTATAGTAAGAAAAGTAATTTGAGAATTTAAGATGTTCTCATTGGCCATTATTTATGGTATATTCCATAAAATCATTGATATCGAGCTATTATAACATGGCATAACATCACAATTTTGCTAGTTAAGGGTGATTTTAATTTTAACCCTGGATATTACTGGTTTGAAACTAATGCTACCAATCTGGCTGGGTGTCACTATCACAAATCTGAAGACATAGGGAGATAGAGTGGAAAAGAAAAATGATTTGTGCTTAAAACTTTGAGAGATTCTAACAGTTAAACTAAGTAATCTGACATCTGTTTCCAGGGGTAAAACACTCTGTCTGGTATTCCTGGACACAAAATCTATTAAATATGTTGCTATCAGAAGACAGGTATCTTTCTTTACCATTTCCTTCAATTTCTTTGGCCTTCACAAATTCAATGTGAGTTATTAACTTTTTTAATAAATACTTTTAAATGACACATTGTGCTTTTTAGAAAAATCACTGAAGTTGTAGCATACAATAGTTATAATTAATTTAAGTCTTTTTCTTTTATTGCTATTTTTTTAAAAAAAAACCTCCTAAAAAGTCCTCTTAGATGCACTTTTCTCTGTTCTCATCACCACGCTGTCTGTCAGTCAGACTCTTACTGCCTTTAAACTAGATCGTGGCAACAGCCTCCTCAATGCTTTGCCTCTAGAGGCACCTTCCTCAATTATCCCCCACAAATCTGAGCTGCAAATCTGTTCATGCCAAAATCACTGCTCCAAGATGAACTTCACACTCAGACTCTGTGATCTAGACTCTCCCTTTTTCTCCTCAGGGCCTTCCAAATATAATTACAGACACAAACCATAAAAAAAATTGACAGATTTGGTAATACAAAAATTAGAAATATCTACAAAATAGGGGAGAAAAACTGTAATATATATGACACAGAATTAATATGTTAAATATGGAAAGACTGTCTAATAATCATTAAAGAAGATGACTGCCCCAAAGATGAAAATGGGCAAAGGAACACTAAGAAAAAAATTCACCACAGAAGAAAATGAAAGACTTGAAAGTTTCAAGAGAGAGAGAGAGGGAGGGAGGGAGACAGGAAAGAGGAAGGAAGAGAGGGGAAAGACAGAGGAAGGGAAGGGGTGAAACACAGAAAATACAAGAGAAAAATACGTAGGAAATAATAATAAATTTGATGCACTCTTTCACCAATATCAGTGTAAAGCTTATCATTTTTCTGAGTGTAGTCTACCAAACACAATTTACAGTTACATGATTGTTCAAGAGTTGAGATCTTCCAAACAACTGCAAACAGATCTTCCAAACTGACACTAAGGTACCAGTTTTATGCAACAAAACAGTGAAGGAAAGTAAAAAGTAACTGCAGGTAATTTGTCCTTGGGACAAAGTTGAAGAGGTATGGCATCAATGTATCAGTACCGATTTAATGAGACATTTGATAGCAGCTCTCTGTTGTGATTTTTAAAGAAAATAAAATATAAATATGTCATTCAGCAGTTACTTAAAAAATAAAAGACTACAGATACAAGGTGATAAAAATAACCACTTTAGGAGATGATAAATAAATGTATACATCCTATCTTCAAATTTAATCATATTGTCAGATGTCTTAAGCAGCTCAAATTTAAAGTTTGTGCTATAAATCTGTGCAAATACATTTTGTAAGGATTGGGGAAAAATCAATGTATTAATGTCATCTTTTGTTTCCAAAACTGTCTGGACCTACAGATTCTTATAGGCAAGAATTTTGAGAGATTAAGGTTAACCTAACTTAGATATAAATCCCACCAAGAAAAGTTTTTAGTTTCTCAGTTTGATAGTTTGATTTCAAAACAGAACAGAAACAGGTTTTAAAACCAATCACAGCATCTTCCCTTTATGTATAACCTGGAAAAACCTGAATTAAAAGTCCAGGTATTAGGACACATGGCCAGCGGCTTTGGATATTCAATCTTATGCACTACTCTTCCACTAGTCTGAATGGCTTGATAAAACAAATGCCAATGATTTTAAAAATACATAGTCCTCTCAGATTTAAGTGGAGGGCCCAGAAATTCAACAGAAAATGACAGTTAAAATCTCTTTCTAACAGATTCCAACAGAGATTCCATTATTCAAACTCCCCTACAGATTACTGGAAAAATATAAGAGGTAATTTTCACAAAAACCACTAATTGAGTGGAATAATTATAACTGATATATAAATATTTACTAAAAAAGGTTTAAAAGGGTGATATTTTAAATCAAGGTTTTAAATACAAAAAGTATCTTGTGTTGCTCAATCGTCCAAAGTTTCAGATGCTCTTTATTCTACAGTTACAGATTTGGCAAGATTCCGTGGGAAATCAACCTGAGGGGGGAAAAAAAAAGCAAGATTTGAGAGATTATACAGGTGGGGGGATTGTTAAAAGCAAAATGTTTTTGTTTATAAAAAAAGGAATAGTATGTTCATTAACCACCTTTATTACAAGCTAAAAAGAATAAGATTAGAAAATATAATCATAATGTATCTCAAAAAAGGTGAAATCAGTTAGGAAAAAGAATCCTAAAGGAGCTAGTTCTACACAGGAAGAGCTACCATGGCCCCCTATAATGGTGGTGACCTCTCTGGAAATGTGTAAGTGAAGAATATTGTCACAATGACTAACAGTTTTGCAATGTGCACTACAGTTCCAAACAACAAAGTATTGTTCTGCCTCAAAATGCCAATAGCTTCCCTGTTAAGAAACACTGGGTTATACCAAGAAAACAGGTGGGGACTCCTTAAGGAGAATCACAATCCTGGAGGCAACCTCCAAGGTTCCTTCCAGTTCTATGGGCAAGAAAATGTTATGATATAACCTAAAAATTGGACAACGGAAGTATGACGGGTGACATATTTATCTGATGAAACTCACATGCTACTGTTAAAAACTGAGGAAGAAAATTATCAGAAGGTACCCAAGGTAAACAGCTATCACAAGATTGCAGCAATGGTGGACTACTTACATCATAGCCTCTCAGCACAGCAAGGTGGAAAGCCAACAACTGTAAGGGGATCACACTGAGAATGCCCTGCAAGCAGTCCACTGAGTGAGGCACCTTGATCGTTCGTTTTGTGTTCTTAATGGTCTCAGTATCTTCCTTATCACAAATCACCACGGGCCGCCCCTGGGAAAGAAAATCCAATCACACATACACAGACACACATCAGTGGCAACCAAAGGTAGAGCTGTAGCACATAGATGTGCAAATTTTGTACTACACAAACCACATCTGGCCTCACTGACACAGACTTACTTACACCTGTAATCCTATATAGTCAGTCTGATAATCTTAGAGTTGAGGAAATGAAGGCTTTAGTGGAATTCAGGAATTTATTTAAATTCACACACTGAGCCTGGTAAGAAATTCCAGGCTCAGTACTTGAATTCAGGCTGGCCTGCCTGCCTGCCTGCCAAGTTCATGTCTGTAATCAGTCAGTATCTTATGCCTTCCTAATAAAATCTTGTCCTTAGGGAGTAATATTTTTTGGGATTTATAAATAAAGTTAATTGATCCAAAGAAATCTCAGTTAAGCAGGGTCTCTGTAATATTAACATAAAGTCTAAGTATAAAGTTTTTCCTGAAATAGTCATTTACATTATCAGGAGGGACTAGGTTCCAAAGAATAGTATCATGCTTGGTAAAGTAGAAAGTCAGTAAAAAAGGGAAGGCTCTATGAGATGGACTGACACAGTGGCTGCAACAATGGGCTCAAATAGCAATGACTGTGAGGATGGCGCAGGACTGGGCCAGTTTTGTTGTTATAAATAGGGTCAGTGTGACTCAGAACTGACTCAATGGCACCTAATAACAATAGCAATTAAAAGGAAGCAGCAACGATAATTGAAAAAGGACATGATTCGAAGGCCATAACCAAGTTTTTTTTGCTCTTGGTTCTGCCTATTATGAAATTTATAAGCAGGAACACTTCAAAACTGAGTGCATCATAGACTCCTCGCACATAAACTTCAAAGGCTATATTCCAAAGCAAACAACTTTATGAGTGTGAACATGCCACCTAACTGGCACTGGTCTATCACTTTAAACTTCATAAAATTTAAATAAGCTTTAGGGACCCCCAACCACACTGCCCTCACAGCAGCCCCTAATGTACCTGCCGAGCAACCACCTGCTGAAGAGCATTCTGACACTTGGCGTAGGTGTGGTCTCTCATGATGATCATGATGACAGGCATAAGCTTATCCACCAAGGCTAGAGGGCCATGTTTCAGCTCACCAGCGAGGATGCCTTCTGAGTGCATGTAGGTAATTTCTTTGATTTTCTAACAGGAAAGGACCAGATTAGTCTTCAGTCTGTTTTACAAAAACCGCATCTAATGTCTTCAGTCATTGTCTATCCAAAATATTAAAGGACCACTGATCTGTAAATATAGCTAACAGCTTAAGAAGTAATTATAATACCAGTAAGTTTAATAAGTTTTAAAACTCCACAAGAACTTTTGAAGAGTTTATTGTGAACTCACGCATATTTCTTTTTAACTGTCCTCCTACTTATGTCTGACTTCAATTTCACATCTAGAGAACTTAAACTATGTTTTATTCCTTTTTTGAATAAATGAAACCCAAGTTATGTGCATGTTATCACACTAAAGAGTACTCTTCTTGATTTTCAATTAAGTACTCTCTGACAGCACCGTCTCAAGGTAAACAAAACCAGAACACATAAAAACAAAGGCACTTATAAAAGTTATACTTATTTCATTCATTAAATCTAAAAGTATTACTATGTTCCACGCCTATCAACAGAAATCAGCTATAAGTGAGAAAACTTACTAGCGCCCCTTCAAGACAAGTAGCATAATGATAACCACGTCCCATTATCAGAACCGACTTCTGATGATAAAGCTCTGTTGCAAGTTTCTGAATTTCATCATCCATGCTTAGTACTTCCTTAATCAAATCTGTAAAGTAATATTGGCAAAAGCTATGAAAAAAAGGACAATAAACTGAAGATGTAATAATAATATATTGATAGCAACACATGATATAGAAGTATGGGAATTTTTAATACCTAGGAACTTTTTTTATTGACTAAATAGCTACAAGTCATCCCTTCAAAGGATAGGAAGAGAATTTCATGTTACCCACTCCCTTAGACAGTAAAAGTGCCATGTGTGACTATCTTCGTACCAGGCAGCCGTTTCAACCCAAGCATGATCTCTTTGCGTCTTTCTTGCATGGAGATCCTGTCATCACACATCATAAGGGCGAACATCACAAGGGATACAAACTGGCTGGTGTAAGCCTAAGCACCAAAAAAAGTATGAGAGTGAGTTGCATTTGCATCTTAAAAACCTGGAATGTTTAAAATTTGAAAAAAGATGAAATTAAAAAGCTTTCCACTGGCTTTGTAGTATACATGACTTGCCTTTTTAAAACGTTCAACAAATTGCCTTAATCTTTATTTACCATTTATAACATGAAAATACCTTATAATACATTGGATGCTTATGAAATCCTTAATACCCACCCTGAGAAAGGAAGGAGGATAAGCTATAAGAAGGTGCAAACCAAACCAAACCTACTGCAATTGAGTCGATTCTGACACACAGCAACCCCCACTGGGTTTCCAAGGCAATAAATCTTTATGCAAGTACACTGTCCAGTCTTCCTTCTGCAGAGTGGCTAGTGGATTTGAACTGCCAACCTTCTGGTTTGCAGTCAAATGCCTTAGCCACTGTGCCACAAGAGCTCCAAAAGGAAGGTGAGTAGAGAGTAAATCTGCATATGCCTAAGCAAATGAAGTTTTCAATGTAAGTCAAAAAACCAGTGGCTTGAAGGACTCTCTTAGAGGTATTTGTTGGATTTTTTAAAATGGCTCAATTTGCCCAATTGCCCATTCCTCAATTCCTTTTTCCTTTAACTTTGTTTTAAAAATAAAAGTTTACTTTGTTGCTGTTATGTGCCATGGAGTTGGATCTGACTCACAGCAACCCCCCATTGGGTTTCTGAGATGGCATCACTGCGGAAGTAGATTGCCCAACCTCCCTTCCGAGGAGTGGCTGGTGGGTTTGAACTGCCAAGCCTTCTGGTTAGCAGTCAAGTGCCTTAGGCACTACACTACCAGAGCTCCTAAAGTTTACTTTGTTGTTGTTTTTGTTGTTATGTGCCATCAAGTTGGACCCGACTCATAGCGACCCCTCCTTGGGTTTCCGAGGCAGTATCACTATGGAAATAGATTGCCCCAAATTCCTTCTGAGGAGTGACAACAAAGTTTACTTCAGGAAAGTAAAAAGAAGTAAGAATGATCCCCAATTAATTAGTTTGGCTGTTAAGTGGAAGGTCAGTGGTTCAAACCCAACAGTTGCTGTTGGGGGGTGGGGGTGGACTGGTGATCTCGTCTCCTAAAGTTTACAGTCTAGGAAATGCTACGAGGCAGTTCTGCTCTGTCAGAGTGAAAGCATACAACAGCAATTAACAGGATTAATTATATTAATAATATGCTATTAGTAACATTTTTGAATACTCACTTCTGGTCTTTATGATGTTTGTAAAATTTATTTACAAAATTACTGTTCATAAAATTAATTTACAATTAATTGACTAGCAGGTACTATTTTACAATTTGCTTTTACCCTTAATTAACATTAATTATTATAAGTATTTTCCCAAGACAGCTCTTTCTCTCTTCTTTAATGGTTTGTTATAACCTTGAGCAATTTTCTTCATCTTTTTAGGCTTCAGAGGCCCCATTTGTTAAAGGTAACTGATACCGGCAAGATTACCCTGAGAATTAAATGAGACAAACATAAAGCGTCAGCACAATACCTAACACACAGGTTCCATAATTTTACTGATGAGAGTTTCAATTAAATGACATTTACTTTCCTAGGCTATTTGAAGCCTTTTTAATCATACTGCCAATTGCTTTTCTCAAAGACTATTTTCATTCATAATCTCTGAAATATTAAGAATTTTTTCAATAAAATTTTACCATTTTGACTGCTGGAAAATGTACCCTTGCTACTACTTTAACTTACATATTCAGTAAAATTATTTTCATGTTTATTGGTCAGTTATATTTTTCCTTTTGAAAATTTAACTTCATTGTTCACCTGTTTTTCAACTTGAGTTTTTCTGTTTGTTTTTTTAATTTGGTTTTAAGAAAGTCTTTATTTTTATGTTTCCAATATTTTTTCCCAGTTTGGGTTTATCTTTTATACTGGTATTTACTGACTAGAAGTTTTGTTTTTTAATTTCTGTGTAGTACACAATCCTTTTACATTTTAATATCAGTTAAAATAAAAAATAAGGTATTCTTATATTTCTTAATCATTATTTTTTATTTTTAAATTTTTTCATCCATTTGAAATTAATTTTAGTGTAAAATGTTAATGGTTTCTTGTTTCTTAACTAAACAGCCAATTCCCACCATCTTCTCCCACCCTTTCTCTATTGGTCTGTAATATCTGTTGCAACCTATGTTCTCTGAAGCACTAGAGTTCTGTTGTAGCACTACTGATGATGTTCTATTGATCTGTCATCTCTTCACACATCTGTCATCCTGAAGTACACCATGTGTATCAATTTGTGCCAGTAATTTAAAAGTCAACAGTGCTATACAGCTTCCATCTTAACAAATATTTACAGAACATCTTACAATATCTTACTAAACTTATTTCTAGGTATTTTTTTTAATCGCTATTGGAAATAGCATCCCCCCACACCCACATCTTTTCTACATAGATATTGTTGGTTCATAGAGACTTTTTTGCATATAGCTCCTTACTTCTTATTCATTCTAGGAAAGCTTTTGGTTGACCTGACAGTTATGTTTGTGTGTCAACTTGGCTGGGCCTGGTTGAGTGGCTGGGCAGCTGGATATAGTATTCCCCATGATGAGACTGGTAATCAACTCCATGGTGGAATCTACTGTGAGCAGCTGAGTAGCTGCCTTAGGGATGTGGACTGCTTCCTGTATATAAGGAGAAGCCTTGGGGAATGGTCTCCAGCTTATGGCATGCTTGGACTGTGCATGTAGCTGTGTCGTTGTTCTGCAGCCTACCATACTCTGCTGACCTTGGGACTTATAATGGACTTGAATTAATGGCCTGCCCATGTGGTTTGGTAGTTATCGGGACTATGCTATTTTATCTGTCAACCTTGGGCTTGTTAGCCTCAGCAGCCAGTAGCTGTCTGAGTGAAGAGATGCCTCTAGCTTCAGTGGGCTGGGAGCAAGAGGCAGAGCTGAAGCCCAAGGTTGAGGGACTTCCACCCAGTCCCTAGAGGCCTGGCACTTTGAACTCAGACATAAAGCCTCTAAACTTTAAGAGAATAAACTCCTGTTTGATAAGGGCATCCCATTTGTGGTATATCCTTGTCAAAGCAGCACTTGGTAACCTGAACAGCTGATACTAAGCTTTATACACAGTCATATCAACTACAAATAAGGAGACTCTTTGTTGTTTCCTTTCCCATTGTTATAAGTTATTTTTTCTTATTAAACTGGATAGAACTTTTAGAAAAGGGGTATTTTTTCCTATTACACTGGATAGAACTTCTAGAAAAGGGATAGCAAATACATTTTATATGGAGTCAATCCTAAGCCCCTGGTACTCACAGTGAAACACTACGTTAAGAAAAATTCTAAGGCCGCCTTTCTTGCTTCTGCATCACAGTAATACAAACTAAATCCTAGAAAGGTTTCAGAAGAGCAGCTGAGGCCCACTGAGATAAAGATCCCGGAGCTTTGTGCTTTTCAGTTCATTTATTTGTTTTCTCTATTATTCATCTCCTTCTGCTTTATTGCGCTTTCTTTTACTAAATTTTTTAATTAAATAATCAATTCATTCTCTTTTTAAAGGTAAAAAAAAAACATTTAAAGCAAAAAATTTATCTCTAATGATCATTTTGGCCAAGTTCTCTAAATTTTACTCATACTGTTCACTGTATTTTTTTCATGGTAGTTTTGGTATTTTTTTAAGCAAAGAGTTATTTAGAGAAATGTTTTTATACTTTGGGCATTTGAGGCTTTTTATTTACATTTTTATTATTAAATCACACTAAGATTACTGTTGTACCAATTTTTTTAACTTTTAATTCTTTTGCTGTTGAGAATATACATAGCAAAACAAACATCAACCCAACAGTTTCTACATGTACTATTTAGTGATGTTGATTAGATTCTTCAAGTTACACAACCATTCTCACCTTTTCTGAGTTGTTCCTCCATCATTAACAGAACAATTTTTAAAAATAATATTATATTGTGTTTTTGGTGAAGCTTTACACAGCAGTTTATGTTTCTATTCAACAATCTGTACACAAATTGTTCAGTGACATTAGTTACATTCTTCACAATAAGTGAACATTCTCAGTATTTCCATCCTGGTTGTTCCATTTCTATTAATAGTATCTCCCTGTCCCCTTATATTCTCATCTTTGTTTTAAAAGTAATTGTTGACTGGTGGATTTCACATAAATGATTTTTTAAAGGAACATGTTATGTACAATTTTAACTTTAGGAAACTTACTTTGTCTGGGTGTCCTATTATCTGCTATTGTTACTCTTCTTTGGATGAGGGATCACTTTATTTGTGAATATTTTCCTCTTATAATATGGAATCTAATAAGATTCCCTGTAAAATACAATCACAGTCTGATAATGCTCCTTACTGTCCCGATACTTAAATGAGATTCCCTATTTCTTCTTGCTGGACTCCTCACCCCCACACCCTTAAGCAGTTGCTTGTATGGTGCTCTACCAGCTACCTGTCCTTATAGTCCTATTATGTTTCCACCTGTCTACTGAAATTTTTTCTCACGGCAATGAAGTAGATTTGGCATCCCTTGCCTCCAATTCAATGAGCACACCCGTATTCTAAGTTTCAATCTCTCCCAGTCTACTTTTCCCTACTGCAGTTAATTAATTGCAAAATATACTATCAGGGAAGAGGGAGAGACCCAATACCTTGGACCTCTGGGATACCTAAATTGTTTCCAACACAAATCGATCAGAATTCCAGTTCCCAGATTGGGCAATCTAATGTACTTCTATAGAGATGCCACCTCAGAAACCCAAGGAAGGGAAGCTATGAGTCAAAATCGACTTGATAGCATTGAGTTTGGTTTTTGGTTCTAGTATGTAACTAAAAATATTATTCTCCAGATCAGTGTTTCTTTATTTGGACTTAAAATATCTCAAAACTGGTTTTTAAGTACAAATGTTAAACAGAGCAACTTTACCATGTGAATCTTTCCATTTCATTGTGACTACAAATTAATTTACAATTTCATATTTTCATTTCATCAATACATAACAGAAAACCAATTATGAGAAAAATAAGCTACACCTCACATTTACAATCTCTTGAGGTTTAAAAGAATTTACCAGGAAAATGTTGCCTGTGAACTTTTCAACTTGGTTTTTTCTTTTTATTCAGTCAAAAATAAAGTTACATTGGTTTATATTTAAAAATCAACAAAAGTCAGCACTGTGGTGAAATTCTAAACACCTGCAATAACATACAAAAATTATTGAAGTTGCATATTTGTATCCATCAATTCCTACAAAAATACCAAATTGTCTATGGTCTGATATTGTCAGGAAGTCAGGAATACTCTTCTAACCCTGATAGTTTTTAAGGCAAAGTTGGGAATTTGTAATCAAGATGATACAATCCTGCTAGCTCCACCACTTTGCCCAAGGACCAAGATCAATAATCAACATCTTTTACCCACTAACATAAAAATTTAGACCTCAGACCTACAGAAATGGTCCATAACCAAACTTTTAAATAACTCCAAGCCCTAAATATCTAGGGCAAGTGAAGACAACATTACTGTGGTGGTTATGTTTGTGTGTCAGCTTGGCTGGGCCTGGTTGAGTGGCTGGGCAGCTGGTGGTAGTTATTCCCCATGATGAGAATGGCAATCAACTCCATGGTGACATCTACCACAGGCAGCTGAGTAGCTGCCTTTGGGATGTGGTCTGCTTCCTGGATATAAGGAGAAGCCTTGGGAATGGTCTCTAGCATATGGCACACTTGGACCCTGCATGTCCCCGTGTCATTGTTCAGCAGCCTACTATGCTCTGCCGACCTTGGGACTTACCGTGGACTAAAGTTAATGGCCTGCCGTGTGGTTTGGTAACATCGGGACTGTGCCTTTTTACTTGTCAACATTGGGGCTTCTCAGCCTCAGCAGCCAGCAGCTGTCTGAGTGAAGAAATGCCTCTAGCTTCAGTGGGCCAGGAGCAGGAGGCAGAGCTGGACCCCAAAGTTGCGGGGCTTTCACCCAGCCCCTACAACCTGGCACTTTGAACTTGGACTTAAAGCCTCCAAATTGTAAGAATAAACTCTGGTTTGTTAAGGCCATCCCATTTGTGGTATATTCTTGTCAGAGTGGCATGTAGGTAACCAGAACAATTACTTTAAAATATAAGAAAGATAAAAGAACACTAAATGTCCACACTTTTAAAAACTCTCAAGAGAGCCATTTGTTTTTAAGAAATTAAAAGTAAATGCTATATAGAAAGGTAGAACAATGTGGAACAAAACTCAAAACCATTTAAAAAAAAAAAAGGGGAGGACCAGGTTTGCTGGTCTGATAGAGCCTGATGGAATCCCTAAGACTATGGCCCCTAGCTGCCCTTCAAGTCTGCAACTGAACCCACTCCTATGGCTTCCAGCCAAACAAAAGTCAGACATATGAACTGAACATTTACATTAGGTAGATATACTCCTTGGAGAAAACAATCATGGGAGAATAGAAGGGCTGTGAATGCACAGACACACAGCTCAGGGGGCAGGAGTGCATGGAGGGAAGGACACAGGGAAGAGGTAACTATGCGGAGGAAGTGGGAGGGGAACGGTTGCATGGTGGTAAACTGCAGTCAATGTCATGAGACAAAGTGTATGTGAGCTGCTATATGGAAAGTGAATTTGCTCTGTAAACTTTCCCCCAAATCACACACACACAAAAAAGAAGTATGCACTATAAAAGATGCTTATTTTTTTATACTTGAAATTGAGATAGTAAGCCACTAGTGAAAACGAATAGTGTATATCATTTTGCATAGTGATAACCTATACTTATTAAATGATTATTTACTGCACAGTTACTATGAGCTAGAGATTATGTAACAAACTTAGAACACAAAGACATGGTATTCTCCTCAAGGAATATGCAGTGAATTTATGTGCTGTATCAGGAGCATGAAAAAGTGGTGGGAGAATACAAAAACAGATACGATTAATTTAACTTCAAGCTTGAAAGAATGTATTGTACAACAGGAATCTTGTGAGCTAGGTTGTAAAATTACAAAGAATTATGACTTTGGATAGCGAATTTTTAAAAATAGGCTGCACATATTATAGATAAAATGTACTTGTCGATAATGCCACAAAAATGAAAATTCTCCATTATGTATTGATTTCGTCTCCCTCAAAGAGTGCTACCCAAATCAGAACTTACAGTTGAAGCACACAAGGCAGCCTTACCCCATATAATGAATGCTTTTCAGGAAGTGAAAAAAGTGGTGTGTGTCTGGTCAAGTATGTGTGATTAGTTACAGATAAAAATTAAAGTTCTCATGAGGGAAGAAAAAGAATTAGAAATTGGCAGCTCACAAGTTTAAGGTTTTAGATAAAGTAAGTCAATAGTATCCTTTCAGTAGTATGATCCCATATGGCACATATACCATGTTAAAACCCTTGTTTCATGATGAGTTATGAATAAAGGGGCCCAAGGATTCTAATCCTCCTATTAAGACTGTCTGTCAGCACATTGTTCCAAAAATCTGAAATTTGCTGCTAAGGCAGCTGGTTATTTATTCAGCCAGAGGATGGGAATCTAAGCATAAACATCTTACATGTATTAATAACCACATTCAGGTTTCAGCTCTCTGTAAATTATAGTGTTAGCAATATCAAATAGGCAGGAATCAACCTCAGAGTTTTTACATTAAGAATCACAAATATTCCACACAAAAAAATTCTCCATGAGATTTTTTTTTTTAATAAGAAAATTCAAATATGGTTATATACATGTTGACATCATCATCCACGCACCTTTAATTAAAAGCAATTTGCCAACACCCAAACATCTTATGAGAAAATTAGCAAGAAATATTTGACTTAAGCAGAAAAATAGACAATAAGAAACTTAAAATTTAGAACTAAAAGGTGTGAACACCTCTTACAAAGGTATTATGTACCTTCTGACATAATTTTTAGAAACCATAAATATGTAAATAAAAGTATGACAAAATTATTAGAATTAAACTGGATGTTTCTCATTTGTTCCTTGTCTAATTTTCAACTGAACAAAAGAAGGGGATATTATACTTACCATGCATCTCACTTCATCTGGAAGGAGGAATGTAAGTGATAACTGGGCACAGCCATCAGACACCTTTTCAAAGTGGCCTCATGTTATACACATGTCTCTTTTAAATGCTAAGTTCCAGGGCTAGGGGTAACAAATGAACCTAAGATACAGACTTATCTATTTCATAATCACTATGATTAAATAATCATATGAGAATTAAGTCAAGAATTTACCTTTGTACTGGCCACACCAATCTCGGGGCCTGCGTTAATGTGAACTCCACAATCCGTCTCCCTTGATATGGAGCTGCCAACTGTATTTGTGATCCCCACAGTTAAAGCTCCTCTCTCCTTACAGTATCTAAGACCCATCAGAGTATCTGCGGTCTCACCTGTGTAAAATAATAAGGCAAATCACTGAATGGAACGGTTTCAACATATGCTGCTTCTTAGATGTAAAAACAAACCAGAAACCAGTTACAAGTTCAACAGTACCACTTCTTTAAAACAAAATATAAGGTTCCCGCAAGATGGCGGACAAGGCAGAAGGACTGCACAGACCCTCTTCAACAAAGAAAAGGGAAACCAATTAACAAAGACACAGAAGATAATCTTGGACCCCTGAACCTTGAAGGGAAGGATACAGAAGTAGACTAAACCCCAACAAGCAGAAGAATTTGCGTGAAAATACCAAAAAAGGAGACATACGGAGCTGCAGTCTGGCAGCGACCTGAGCGATCCTGACAGCACAGACAGCTTGGATATTCCTGAGTGATAGTAGGACCAAAGAATTAACCTAAAAATCACCCTGATAGCCAGGGACTACACGGACTGTGCACGGTGGCTGGGGAACAAACAGAGAAGGTGAAGAGAAAGGTGGGCTGAGCTGTGGACTTTTGCTGGTCCGGAGA